CATCTGCATTCATTAATTAGTAGTCTGATGTATTTAAGATAACAAATATATGTAATCTGGTTCCTCTGAAGTCATCTATCTTGCAGCCTCTTATATATTAACTTATGAAGAAAAAAGGTATGCAAACAAAGCTTGTATTTTTAATGGCTTTTTCTTTTTAATTTCCTTCATTATCTTTTAAATGTTAGTGTAGTTGAGGAGCATCATAGTTATACAATTTAATTTTGTTGCTAGAAAAGCTGTGGCAATTGAATTTTTCTTCACCTTTCTATAACATTTTTTTCTCAGAGAGGGAGGAGGGAGGGGCAGAGGGAGAAAGTGAGAGAAAATCTTAAGCAGGCTCCACATTCAATGGGGAGCCTCACACAGGGCTTGAGCTCATGACGCTGAGATCATGACCTGAGCTAAACTCAAGAGTCGGACGCTTAACCAGCTGAGCCACCCAGGTGCCCCTACATTACAGATATTTTTAAAATACTTTTTAGTAGGGACACCTGGATAGTTCTGTCAGTTAAATGTCTGCCTTCAGCTCAGATCATGATCCCAGGATTCTGGGATTAAGCCCAGAGTGGGGCTCCCTACTTAGTGAGGAGCCTGCTTCTTCCTTCCCCACCCCCTCACACCCGCCTGTGCGCTCTCTCTCTCTCTCAAATAAATAAAATAAAAAATACAACAATAAAATAAAATGCTCTTTAGTAAATGCTCATTGGTAATAAAGCCAGGTTTTGAACTCCAGCCTACAGACTTGCAATGTTATATAATTTTTTCTGTATTGTACTTCCTCTTCCTCTCAGAATTGATCAACTTTAGGGGTGTCTTTGTCTTTGACCACAGCCTCTTTACCTTCTATTTCTCTTGTTTCTTATACTTCCCCTGAGATGCTACAAGCTTGATTACTTTAGAATCCATGAACCCCTGGTGACTTACTTTGGCTTCTTATTCTGCCTGGCTCATGTGGGCATGATCAATTGTTTTAAAAACTATTTTCTTTATTGTCAGTTGAATTAATAATTCTTTGACTGTGAATATATACAAGTAATAGAAGAGTTACAAAGTTTTCTGACCTTAGATTACTTATTATTCCAGAATCTTCTCACCTTTTGACTTTATAGATTCTCTAATCCTAATTTTGGGTTGTTATATTTTTGCTTCATTATATAGCCATGAATCAGGTTAATGGGGTCTGGGGCACATGTATGTTGCATAATTTCATCTAGGCTGTAACTTCATCTCTTTGTAAAATCTGTGACTTTTTAAAATATTTTTTTCAAATCTTTCCCATTCTTCCCAAACTATCAAGTTGCTTTTCTCACTTAGATTCCCACTCTCAGGGCAGCCCAGGTGGTTCAGCGGTTTAGCGCCTCCTTCAGCCCAGGGCCTGATCCTGGAGACCTGGGATCGAGTCCCACCTCAGGACCCCTGCATGGAGCCTGCTTCTCCCTCTGCCTATGTCTCTGCCCCCCCCCCCCCCCGTGTGTGTCTATCATGAATAAATAAATAAAATCTTTAAAAAAAAAAAAAAAGATTCCCACTCTCAGTGTATGGTCTTGCCTTCTACTTGACTCACTTTTGTCCTTAGTCACTTTCTACCCCAAGCTATTTTCTGGGGATGACCGGCCCTTTGAAGTCCTCTTGATGTAATTGAAGACATTTCAGCACTTTACACAATATCTCTGTCATGCAGGTTGATAGGTAAGATTTTTCTTAAGCTTCATTGCAGAGAAAAGTTATCACCCTTAAGTAGCTGATTTGTTTTGAACCTGTATACACTATGGGCATTTTGACTAATCATGCTTCACACTTTATTTTGTCCACTGAAAACTCAGAGCAGTTTTTATTATCCATGCTAACAACTACATGTGACCTATCACATTTAACTTGATATAATAATCTTATCCCTAGTTTCATATTTTTATTTATTTTTAAAGATTTTATTTATTTATTCATGAGAGACAGAGAGAGAAAGAGGCAGAGACACAGGCAGAGGGAGAAGCAGGCTCCATGCAGGGAGCCTGACATGTGACTCAATCCCTGGTCTCCAGGATCAGGCCTTGGGCTGAAGGTGGTGCTAAACCTCTGAGCTACCCAGGCTGCCCCAGTTTCATCTTTTTATTTAAAATTTATTAATATCTTCTTCCCTGCCTTTTTCATCTATTTTTTGTCATGTTAGATTGCATGTGTTTCTTTTGTTTTGTTTTTTTAAGATTTTATTTATTCATGAGAGACATAGAGAGGCAGAGATGTAGGCAGAGGGAGAAGCAGGCTCACCATGGGGAGCCCATTAAGGGACTCAATCCTGGGACTCTGGGATCATGCCCTGCGCCAAAGGCAGTCCCCTCAACCACTGAGACACCCAGGCATCCCGCGTGTATTTCTTTTGTTTTGAAAAGGTAATATATATTCATTTTAATAAAATTCAGTAGTACAGAAAACATACATAGAAAAATAAAACTCAGTGTAGAAGATAATCAGCAAAATGAAAAGCTGTTGTGCTGAGATTTCAGAAAAACCATCAGCAGTCATTTTATTAATAAGTTCTTTAGCAGCAAGATGAATTAGTAAAGGTTCATTTTCACTACTAGGAGTTAGGCTGAGCTTGTTATATAGCTCTGTACACAAACAGGCATCAATGGTTTTCTGATAAACTATTGCTACTTAATTTACACTAATTGATAGACTTTGATGAACCATCAACTTTTCTCACTAGCCTTTGTTTTATAGCTTTGTGCAATTACCTAAAAAAAGTTTTTAGATATCTTGAAACCTGACTCCAGAGAAGATTCCCAGTTTTCATTGAAAAAAAAAGTGAAATCTATAGCATAAGCAAATGTCTCATCTTCTTTTCTTTGGATGTTAAGAACATAAAGACAGGGGCTCCTGGATAGCTTAGTTGGTGAAACGTCTGCATTCGGCTTAGGTCATGACCCCAGATCCTGGGATCAGGCCCCATGTTGGGCTCCCTGCTCAATGGGGAGTCTGCTTCTGTGTCCTGCCTCTCCCCGTTTGTGTCCTCTCTCTCTCTGTGTCAAATAAATAAAAACTTTTAAGTTTTTAAAAAAAGAACATAAAAACAAGTAGAATAATAAAGAGAAAAATATGTCCAGTCCTTTTTTTGTTAACAAATCTAGCTCATATAGTAATTTAGAGTACAATATAACCACAACAATAAAAGGGCTTATTAAGTCAAATCATGGGGGAGATCATGATCAATTTGTCCCTTAGTTATAATAGGGACATAGGGAATTTTTTTTTCAGTTTCAGAGGTAGAGTTTAGCAATATAATAGGAAATTTTTGAATGCACACTATACGCTAGGCTCTGTACTTATTCATGGAATGTTGGCCATCTATTATGTGCTAGGAATGTGCTATTATGTGCTAGGCCATCTATTATGTACTTTCCTAGGAACTGGTAAACAAAACAGACATGCTACTTGCCCTCAGTTAATCTTCACACTAACTCTTTGCAAGGGGTACATTATGGCTGAGAAAATTCGACGCTCAGAGAGGTTAACTAGACTATCCAGAGTTGCACAGCCATTAAATGGTGGAGTTAGGATTTGAATATGAGTCTATCTTTTTCCAAAGTCTTTGTTCTTCCACAAAGTTACAATACCGTGTACAAATGTGCCAGAGGGGTGAGGGAGTGCAAGCATATACAAAGTTATATAAAAGCATGGAACCAATAATCCGCATTGCCTCAATGAGCCTGCTATTTTATCTGGCTTGGATAATCTAGTGTAAAATGACTACTGCAGTCTTCTCACTGGCCCCCCTACAGTCTGTTCAAAACCCAGCACCCAGAGTGATCCTCCTAAAATACAAACCCTGTCAGGTCATTCCTCTGTACAGAAACCTCCAGTGGAGATTTCTCCTCCCTATACTCAATTCCTCCTTCCTTCATACCTAGAAGTAACCATAGACATTGCTATTAGTTTGGTGTAAATCCTTTCAACTTTGAGTACTGGTTTATAACCTTTTTATTTAAACATAAATAGAATCAACTACATGTATCCTGCAAATTGCTTTTCCCTTTGTATTTACAGTTGAATATCCTCTGTTTTTTTTTTTTTAAGATTTTATTTATTTGAGAGAGAAAGAAGGCACAAGCAGGGAGAACAAGAAGCTGACCCCCTGCTGAGCAGGAAGCCCAAGGTGGGGCTTGATCCCAGAACCCTGGGATCATGACCTGACCTTAAGGCAGACACTTAATTGACTGAGCCACTTAGGCACCCTGAATGTCCTGTGTTCTTAACATGAGATATATATTCCCTTGATATGTATTGTTATAAAGTAGAATGAGGAAAGTTTTCTGTTTTATGAATTCCACATCACATGACTTTTATCATGCTGCTGTATAATTGTGAATTTTATAGTCATAAAACAAATAACATCTTTTATAACAATTATACTTTTATAGCTATAGCATGAAATAATTCATTTTTTTAAATGCCATTGCTTTGGAGCATCTGGCTAGCTCAGTCGGTAGAGCATGTGACTCTTGATCCTGGGGTCATGAGTTCAAATCCTGTGTTGGGTGTAAAAACTACTTAGACATCTTAAAAAAAAAAAAAAGTGCCCAGAAAAATACAGTTGCCATAACAGTGTCATATTTGTTATGCAGTAAGATTTATCAACAGAGCAAACTCTTCTAACTATACATGACATGACATAGATGCTTCAATTATAATTATAGAATTTCTTCTTTACCATAGTAACCCCTCAGTTGAGCAATTTCAACTGCTTTTGCCTCCCCTCATTAATAGAGATATTAGGCTATATAAAGTAAAATGCAGGAGAACTGATGGCCAATAATGGAGCCAGAAGACTTGGCTCTACATATTCAAGGCTAATTAATTATTAGGTAAATGAGATGTTACATTGTAGGTAAAGACTACAAACTACGGCTCAGATTTGTTTTTGATAGGAAATAGGATTTCATTTATTTCCCTGTTTTAGTTTTGTATTAAATATGTTAAAACCTTTTCATTTTTAATTGCAGTCTCGAGTTATAGCTGTATTGGATTGGGAGCTTTCAACCATTGGTCATTCTTTGTCAGACTTAGCTCATCTCTCTCTGTTCTACTTTTGGCCAAGGAGCGTTCCATGGATAAACCAAAATTCTAATTTTCAAGAAAACAAAGGTACAAAACCATTATGTTGCCTAAATTGCTATTAATGTAAAAATATATTTATTCTTCATAATTAAAAGGTAAGATTATATTGCAATTTTAGATAAGTAGCTCTTATTTGTTTCTTGAAATGTTTCTAAACAATTTTATTCTTGATTTTTCTGAACAATAGCATTTCACTTTTAGTAATTTATGATAAAATGTAGCCCTTTATATACTACATTCTTTTGGAAATCAACATTCACAACATGTTTGTTATGTGGTTTAATGGTTATTATATTCAGTTTTGTATACATATGCAATATCATTATATTTGAAATAGTCACCATGCTATCTTTATTACATTTCATAGTGTGTATTGTTTTTATAGGGATACCATCAATAGAAGAACTGATTTCAATATATTGCCGCTGCAGGGGAATTAACTCTGTTCTTCCTAACTGGAATTTCTTTCTTGCCCTTGCATATTTTAAAATGGCTGGAATAGCACAGGTAATTGATGGTGAGCAAAATATGTTGTACCATTATTTATTAATGTACTGTTCACAGTATTTTCTGGGCTTCAGGAGTTTTATGTTCTTTGTCCTTAAATCATTTTGCTTTTGATAATGACAAATAGCAAACATGGGTAAATATGAATCCAGAATTTACAGAATAGCAATTTGGCAAGGGAAAAAAATTGAGTAGCAAAATGTTTATCACTTTTTGGTATGATGAACTTAAAAGTAGGAGAGGGAAGAGAGAAAGACATAATGATAAGAAGAGAAAAGCATGTGAAAACTGGTTGTTTCCTGAATATCCAATGTAAGAAAGAGCTAAAATATTTTAATGATGTCTGCTTTGTTTTTTTTTTAATTTTTTTTATTGGAGTTCAATTTGCCAACATATAGCATAACACCCAGTGCTCATCCCAAGTGCCTCCCTCAGTGTCCATCACCCAGTCACCCCAACCCCCTGCCCACCTCCCCTTCTACTACCCCTTGTTAATTTCCCAGAGTTAGGTTTCTCTAATGTTTTGTCACCCTCACTGATATTTTCACTCATTTTCCCTCCTTTCCCTTTACTTCCTTTCACTAATTTTTATATTCCTCCAATGAATGAGACCATATAATGTTTGTCCTTTTCCGATTGACTTATTTCACTCAGCGTAATACCCTCCAGGTCCCTCCACATCGAAGCAAATGGTGTGTATTTGTCGTTTCTAATGGTTGAGTAATATTCCATTGTATACAGAGACCACATCTTCTTTATCCATTCAGTGATGTCTGCTTTGAACTATAAAACCATTTATTAACCAGGGCTGAACTATAAACCATTTATTTTTTTTTAAAAGATCTTATTTATTTATTCATGAGAGATACAGAGAGAGAGAGAGAGAGAGAGAGGCAGAGACACAGGCAGAGAAAAGCAGGTTCCATGCAGGGGGCCCGACACGGGACTCGATCCCAGGTCTTCAGGATCATGCCCTGGGCAGAAGGCAGTGCTAAACCTCTGAGCCACCCGGGCTGCCCTATAAAACCATTTATTAACCAGGGTTGGAAGAAAGAAATGCTTTTGCATGTCCCAAAGCCTCACACAGTATGTAGACTATAGTAGCCTCTTAATATGTTTTTGAGAGAATAAATAAAATTTTCCATTTTATAGCAGTAATATTTATGACATTAATTTTATGAGGAAATTGAGCATAAACTCATTTTTTTAAAATTACAGCTTAATCTAAAGTGTATTCTTTTTTTCTTGGGGTGGGGGGACAGAGAAAGAGGGAGATAAAGAATCTTAAGCACGCATAAGGGGCTGGATGTCACCACCCTGAGATTACGACCTGAGCCAAAATCAAGAGTCCAATGCTTAACCAACTGAGCCACCCAGACCCCCCTAAAATGTATTCTTTTTTTATACTGATTTAGTTTCCATGTGCTTTGAATCTTGGGAGTTTAAGAAATTGAGATGCTTCATTACTGACAAAGGGCTAAGGCTTGGAGGAATAAGTAAATAAAGATTTTTAGAAACAAAAAAGAATGGGAAAAGAAGGATTAAGGGTTTTTTCCCCCTTGTCTTCAGAGTCCATGCTATCTATGACCAACTAAAATATCTTCTAAGAATATAGTTGTAAAAAATTTTAAAAAGGAATATAGTTGTATTACCTTTCATCCTGTATTTTAGAATCACAGTAATCATGTTGGCTGGATGGGTTTCTCAAAAGAGGGTTTATAGTGTGTTTTTTATATTTGTCAGTTTCCACAAATCAGATAACAAATGGGCTTTGAATTTAAAATGGATTTTCATTTCAAATGAAAGTTTGACTTGGATTATTTCGTAATTAATATGTATGTCATAGACTATATGTGGTAACAGAGATGATCATAAACATTGCATTCTAACTACAAATATGAAATTGGAAATGATGGAAGTTCTATTAGAATGTTTAGTTGCATAAAGAATTACATGAAGAAATGAAACTAATGAAATTCAGTTAATTGTGTTAGGATGAGACGAGCAAGGGAGAGGAGAGTGTGTTAAAATACAGAACACAGAGAAGAAAGAAAAACTAATTAGTATTCAACTGACCCTGTTTGAGGAGACGGTTAATTAAACTAGGAGTCCAAAATATGAGGGAAATAAATATTCTTAGAGATCATCTCATTGCTTTCTCTTTAGTTTTTTGGGTTTTTTTGTTTTATTTTGGTTTCTTTAGATTTTCCCCCGTTATGAAGGGAGAACAGTGATCTTTAAACAGTGATACATAAGGTGCTGCCAGTCTGGTATCTTTGTTAATTCCTGACCTCATTTTCAAGTTTGATTTGATTTCTAGTTACAATTGGTAGGATGAGAGTGTGTTAACCAAATGATAGATGTATAACTCTTTAACTTAGGGGGGTATAATTATCCCTATGTGTAAATAAATAGAATTGATGGTCTAATTTACGTCTTGATACCTTGTGAGTTTAGTGACTCACATAGCTGGGAAACTGTGGAGAGACTGGATAGCTGAAGAATAATTTTCAGTGAATCTTAATTGCTCTTTTTTTTTAAGATTTTATTTATTTATTCATGAGACACACACACACACACACACAGAAAGAGTGGCAGAGACACAGGCAGAGGGAGAAACAGGCTCCATGTAGGAAGCCTGACGTGGGACTCGGTCCTGGGTCTCCAAGATCACACCCTGGGCTGAAGGCGGCGCTAAACCACTGGGTCACCAGGGCTGCTCTTAATTGCTCTTTTTTAATTTACTTATAGGGTGTATATAATAGATATCTTCTGGGAAATAATGCATCTGAGAATAGCTTTCTGTTTGCCAAGATTGTGCAACCTCTGGCAGAAACTGGATTACAACTCTCAAGAAAGTAAGCAAAATCAATTCCTTTTCTAACTCAAATTAGAGCCTTTATTAGGTATATGAAGTTTGTAAACTTTAGGAGGATAGGGACTTTCTATTACTTACACAAGGATGGCTGCTGCTAGTCATAGGAATTTTTTGGTAAATCTCTTATATGCCTGAAAATAAAATGACTTCAAATATAAAGAAAATAACCCAGATTCATGATTAAAAGTTTTTGTTTTGTTTTTTTGCCAACTTGATTGAGTATATAAACTTTTAAGGATATAGATTAAAACTCTGAAATGTTTCTTTCTAATATTTAAGTTACTTACATATACCTATTTAAAAGTATATTTATAAAGGATGGTTTATTAATTTTAGAAGTATTGCTGTCTTCTATCATATTTCATGAAATTTTAATCATTTCATAAGTGTCTTCGAAATCCATATCACTTTGAGGCATCTAATTCACTTACTAACCACATACTCCCATCTAAGTGATGCGATATATAGCACTTACTGAATGCATAGATGATGCTGTCCTTAGAAATTCTGTCCAGGCTACAAGTATCCAGGATAAAAAACATTAGGACAGTTATGTTTTACAATTCATCTTATAGATGGATATTTGTGTTCTCTGTAATGTAACAGATAGTGTTGCTCTTCATAAAGATCTTTATAATGACATCCAGCAGTTGTATTTGTGAGGAATACACTAAAAATAATTACTAAATTTGTGTTCAATTTCTTCACTTCCTTTTTGAGAGATTATAAGTGACTTTAATAAAGATTCAAAACTACCACTGATTGAAATCATGTCAGGCTAATGTTTTACCCACATAGTGCTTTCACCATTAGTTTCATGTTCAGAGTAAAGTGATTCTGCATTCATCCCATAATATGAAAAACTTAAGAAATTCCAAAATTTGGCAATTGCTGAGGGATATTTTGAGGGAGTTGGAAAAGACTTCACATTATATTTGGAGATACATAATAATGATTTGGGACACCTTTATAACTTTTTTTTTTTTTTATAAAGAACTTTCAGTACTATACCACCACAAATTGGTACTTCCCCACAGTTGTTTGCACAGAGTAAGACTGGCCAGGAAGTTCTTGCTAGGGTGAAGCATTTCATGAAACAACACATCCTTCCAGCTGAAAAGGTAAGTACTGTATAAACAAACAGAATGTATTTGTGTTCAAGGACTGTTGATGAATTAAGTCTGGTATCTCTTCTAGGAGTACCATGGTACACTATCTTTGTAGTCAATCCTTACTTTTTCCCCCTCCTCATCTTAGCACTGAGCTGCTGCAGAAGCTGATAAACTTCTAAAATATGCCAAGGGAATGCCACAGCTAAATCTTTAAAATTAAAATACAGTCAAAGGGGATTAACTGTTGTAAAGTTGAGATCCTAAATATATTAGAGTAAAACATGACTTTAGGGCCTTTAAAAAAGGATTTTTTAAAATTTATTTTTTTTGAGAGAGAGAGAAGGGGAGAGCACACTCGATTGAGGAAGGAGCAGAGGGAGATGAATAAGCAGACTGTGAGGAGTGGGGACCTCCACACGGGGCCCAACGCCACAACCCCAAGATCATGACCTTAGCCAAAATCAAGAGTTGGATGCCCAACTGACTGAGACACCCAGGCACCCTAGAGCCTTTTCATAAGGCAGTGACTGTCAGTCTTTTTTTATGGATCCATATGAGAATTAAGAAAACTGTAGCCTGTAGCCTAAGCAAAATGGACATAACCAGAAAATGTCATATACCTTTAAATCTATTCACAGATACTAATACCTCTCTCCCTACAAGTTAGTCGTATAAGGCCTTAAGTTTCAGTAAGTTCACTAAGGGTAGAGAAGTAACATGGTACATTCACTTGTTCAGTTAATATGTGATTATTAGGTACTTAATAATGGGTTAGGCATCTGGACAGCCATCAAAAGTAAAAGAAAAAGAGCTAATGCTTCCACAGAGCTTATACTTTAGCAAAAGAAAGATATTCAATAAGAGATAATAATGCTGTGAAGAAAAGATAAAAGCTATTATGAGCATACGTAGACAGGTGAGGCCAGATATGTGTGTGAGTTGAACACTGGTGTAGAAATTGTAAGGATTTTATTTTTTGGTCCATTCCTACCATAAGTTAGGTGGTCATGAACAAATAACTTTAATTCTCAGTGCTTGAATCTTTCATCTGTGATGTGCATGGATATAAGTATACAACAAATTCTCATTTTGATTTTCTATGATTCTGAGAGGTCTAAAGCTATACTGACCAAACAGGAAACTGAAAAAGACTAAAACTCTTTCAACAAAAATGTTCAGAGTCAATATGTGTTTATAGGGCAGTTACTATTGTTGCTTGAACTACATAATTACCATATTTTTATTTTTTTAAGATTTTATTTATTCATGAGAGACACATAGAGAGAGGCAGAGACACAGGCAGAAGGAGAAGCAGGCTCCTTGAGGGGAGCCCAATACAGGACTTGATCCCAGACCCTAGGATCATGCCCTGAGCCAAAGACAGATGCTCAACCACTGAGCCACCCAGGCATCTGAATTACCATATTTTTAATAACGATCTGGCATGAGATGAATTTTCCTGACACTGGGTATAGTTTTCTTTCTTTCTTTTTTTTTTTTTTTAAAGAAAATACTACTTAAATATGAGGAAATTCTTTCTAAAATAGTCTCTTAACAGAGACAATATACAGTGACTTTACAGGTAATACAAGGGACTAGATTCGTATCTTTCAGTAGTCACTCTAAATGAGATAAACGTCCCAATCAAAAGACACAGGGTCCCAGATGGATAAAAAAACTAACACTCATCAATATGCTGTCTGCAGGAGACTCATTTTAGACCCAAAGACACCTCCAGATTGAAATTGATGGGTTGGAAAACATTTATCATGCTAATGGACATCAGAAGAAAATGTAGCGATCCTTAGACAAACTTGATTTAAGCCAAAGACTAAAAAGAGATGAAGAGATGGGATCCCTGGGTGGCACAGCGGTTTGGCGCCTGCCTTTGGCCCGGGGCTGATCCTGGAGACCCGGGATCGAATCCCATGTCAGGCTCCCGGTGCATGGAGCCTGCTTCTCCCTCTGCCTGTGTCTCTGCCTCTCTCTCTCTCTCTCTCTGTGTGACTATCATAAATACATTTTAAAAAAAAATTTTTTTAAAAATTAAAAAAAATAAAAAGAGATGAAGAGGACACTATATCATAATCAAAGAGTCTATTCAAGAAGATCTAACAATTTTAAGTATTTATGCCACTAACATAGGAGCAGCCAATTATATAAACCAAATAATAACAAAATTAAGGAAACACACTGATAATAATACAGTAGTAGGGGACTTTAACACCCCCCTTACTGCAATGGACCGATCATATAAGCAGAAGATCAATAAGGAAACAAGGGCTTTGAATGACATACTAGACCAGATGGACTTCACAGATATTCAGAGTATTCCATCCTAAAGCAACAAAATACACATTCTTCTCAAGTACCTATGGAACATTCTCCAGAATAGATCACACACTGAGTCACAAATCAGATCTCAACTACCAAAGATTGGGATCATTCCCTCCATATTTCCAGACCATAATGCTTTGAAATTTGAACTCGATCACAAGAGGAAATTTGAAAGAACTCAAATATGTGGAGATTAAAGAACATCTACTAAAGAATGATGGGTCAACTAGGAAATTGAAGACGAATTTTTAAAAATTCATGGAAACAAATGATAATAAAAACACAACTGTTCAAAACCTTTGGGATGCAGCAAAGGTGGTCCTAAGAGGGAATATATATAGCAATACAAGCCTTTTTCAAGAAACAAGAAAGGTCTCAAATACATGATCTAACCATACACCTAAAGGAGCTGAAAAAAGAACAGCAAGTAAAGCCTAAATCCAGAAGGAGAAGAGAATTAATAATGATTAGAGCAGAAATCAATAAAATAGAAGCCAAAAGAACAGTAGAACAGGCCTATGAAACTAGGAACTGGTTCTTTGAAAGAATTAATAAGATTGATAACCCCATGGCCAGAATAATAAATAAAAGAGAAAGGACCCAAAGAAACAAAATCATGAGTGAAAGAGGAAAGATCACACCAAAGGAAAAAAAAACACCACCAAAGAAATGTAAACAGTTATAAGAACATATTATGGGCAACTATATGCCAATAAATTAGGCAATCTGGAAGAAATGGGTGCATTCCTGGAAACATATAAACTATTAAAGCTGAAACAGAAAGAAATAGAAAACCTGAACAGACCCATAACCAGCAAGGAAATTGAAGAAGTAATCAGAAATCTCCCAACAAACAAGAGTCCAGGGCCAGGTAGGTTCCCAAGGGAATTGTGTCAAACATTTAAAGAACTAATACCTATTATACTGAAGCTGTTTTAAAAAATAGAAGTGGAAGGAAAACTTCCAGACTCATTCTATGAGGCCAGCATTACCTTGATCCCCAAACCAGAAAAAGACCCCACCAAAAAGAATTACACACTAATATCCCTGATGAACGTGGATGCCAAAATTCTCACCAAGATACTAGCCAATAGGATCCAACAGTACATTAAAAGGATTGTTCTCGGGCAGCCCAGGTGGCTCAGCAGTCTAGTGGAGCCTTCAGTCCAGGGCCTGATCCTGGAGACTCAGGATCGAGTCCCGCATCAGGCCCCCTGCATGGAGCCTGCTTCTCCCTCCCTCCCTCCCTCCCTCCCTTCCTCCCTCCTTCTCTCATAAATAAATAAAATCTCTTAAAAAAATAAATAAATAAAAGGATTATTCTTGAGATCAAGTGGGATTTATTCTTGGGCTGCCAGAGTGGTTCAACATCTGGAAATCAATGAATGTGATACACTACATTAATAAAAAAAAAGGGCAAGAAGCATTAATCCATTAATAGATACAGAAAAAGCATTTAACAAAGTATAGCATCCTTTCTTGATTAAAACTCTTCATAGTGTAGAGATAGAGGAAGCATACCTCAATACCATAAAAGCCATATTTGAAAAGCCCATAGCAAATATCATTATCAATGGGGAAAAACTGAGAGCTTTTTCCCAAAGGTCAGGAACACAGCAGGGATGTCTACTCTCACCAGTGTTGTTGAGTACTATACTAAAAATCCTAGCCTCAGCAATCGGACAACAAAAAGAAATAAAATGGATCTGAATTGGCAAAGAAGTCAAACTCTCACTCTTCGCAGATGACATGATACTCTGGAAAACCCAAAAGACTTCACCGCAGAATTCCTAGAACTCATACAGGAATTCAGCAAAGTGACAAGGTATAAAATTAATACACAGAAGTCAATTGCATTTCTATATGCTAACAAGACAGAAGAAAGAGAAATTAAAGAATTTATTCCATTTACAATTGTACCCAAAACCATAAGATACCTAGGAATAAACCTAACAAAGAGGTAAAGGATCTGTACTCAAAAAACTATCAAACACTCATGAAAGAAATATAGGAAGACACTAAGAAATGGAAAAACATTCCATGCTCATGGATTGGAAGAACAAAAATTGTTAAGAAGTCTTTGTTACCTAAAGCAATCTATACATTCAGTGCAATCCCTATCAAAATACCATCAATTTTTTTTCACAGAACTGGAACAAATAATCCTAAAATTTGTATGAACAAATAATCCAAAATTTTTCTGGTTTCTGTATAAACCAGAAAAGACTCCAAATAGCATCATAATTTCTGGACTTCAAGCTATATTGCAAAGCTGTAATCATCAAGACAGTATGGTACTGGCATAAAACAGACACATAGATCAATGGAACAGAATAGAGAACCCAGAAATGGACCCTCAAATCTGTGGTCAACTAATCTTTGACAAAGTAGGAGAGAATATCCAACAGGAAAAAGTCTCTTCAACCAATGGTACTGGGAAAGTTGGACAGCCACATGCAGAAGAATGAAACTGGACCATTTTCTTGAACCAAACAAAAATAGACTCAAAATGGATGAAAGACCTAAATGTGACACAGGAATCCATCAAAATCCTAGAGAAGAACACAGCAACCTCTGTGACCTCAGTTGCAACTGACAGAGTGGGAGAAGGTATTTGCAAATATCTTATCAGATAAAGGTCTAGTATCTAACATCTATAAAGAACTTAACAA